CCTGCCGCTGCAGGGGACATGGGTTCGTGCCCCGGTCTGGGAAGATCCCATATGCCGCGGAGTGGCTAGACCATGGAGCCTGTGCTCCGCAACAGAAGAGGCCACAACAGTGAGATGCCCGCGTACCGCTAAAAAAAAAAAAAAAAAAAAAAAAAAGTAACCTATTTACTTCTTAAAATAAACCCTCTGGTCTGAGTGGATTCATTCATAGATTTTTTTTTTTTAATGTGCTTGGAAAATGAGGTATGATCAATTCCTTTATCCATGCCTGAGCAGTAAATCTCTAACACCAATCAAAAACAAGAAATGAAGATATTCAGAAGCCAATACCATGAAGACAAGTTACCTAAAACTCTTGACCTATCATGATGAAAGGTAAGAAACTCCTTCGCATTGTTACTTTCAAGTAACTGATCAGTAATCCCAAATATATACAGTCCAGAAAACTGTAAAAAGTAGTTAGTGGTGGGTTATTTAACAGGTAAGGAGAAAGGTGTAATTAGAAACAGTGTTTGTTGGATCCGCACTATTGGGGAATGATGATGGAAAACTGCTGCTCACTAGTCAGAAAGGGACAACTTTGTGCAAAATGGGAATTAAAGGATAAGAGATGGGGGGATGGGGTGGGGGGAATTAGACAAAATAATATAATCAGATAGGCAAAACAACTATAAAGAAGATGACTTAACAACTAAGTAGTTATTAAAAGCTAACGTTTATCAAGCACTTACCATGGGCCAGACACCTGCCCTAAGTGCTTCACACAGTCATCTGAAGTTTCCATTAACTCTAAGGTAGGTACAATTATTCCCTTTTTACAAATGAGGAGGTGAGACTCAGAGTGATTCAGGATCTTATTCATTGGTACATAACAAGTCAGTAGCATAGCTAGGATTTAAACCCTGGTTTGCCTGACCCCAAAGCCTGTCCTTAGTAACCATTTTGCTGTGTGCTTTATATTAATACTTAAGCAGTACTGGGGGTTCACTAAAGGCTTAATAAATTAGAATTCCTGGAAAATAATGGTTACCCAGTGTGGGAAAATGCTAAAATAAGATCTATTGCAAAACCAGAGCAGGTTTCTTTTTATTATAGGTCTTGGGTCCTGGAACGTGAAATAAAAGAGCCTGGCAAGTTAGCACCAGGATCAGTAGAAAGGGCAGGGCCTTGACATAGGCCAGGGTTCAGGCCTTGGCTTGTCCTTTTCTTGGTGTGCAACCCAAGGCAAATCCTATTCTCTCTCTGAGCTTCGGGTCAAAATGAGAACTTTGGATGCTATAACCAGTTGGGCTTCTTTTGGCTTTTAATATTCTAGGATTTTATCAAGTCATTTATGTGCTCTCTAAGTAATGGGCAGGAGGATGGGAGGTTGGGTGTATCTCCCTTCAAAGAGAGGAATAAAGTCCCTGAAAACACCTGAAAGGGGAACCACCAAGAGGAGCTGACCCATATGAGGCCCATGGAAACATCTGGCCATTGGCTAAGACTAGGAATTTTCTAACTTGGACAGGATTCCCAATAGGATGATCTAAATGCAAAGTTGAAATGGGATTCTAGTATTCAATGAAGGTTTGATACTGGGAAATGAATTTGGCAAAAACAAAACTTTCACTGGACTTGCAGAGCATCTCTGAAGGACAGAGATGTCACCACTCTGAAGACTTCACAGAGGCTGGGTCAGTGAAGCTGGCAAACATTTCATGGCAGAAAACCTATGGAGTTGGAACAACTGAATCGGAAAGCCTCTTTGATAGGGCATTCTAAACACTGAGCATGGTGGATTTCTGCGTTTTGTTGTTTTTTTCCACAACACTGTCAAAGAAAAGCTTTTGCACACACCCATCCTAAGCGGAAACACTATACTCACCCTGGCACTTGTTATAGAAAAGAACTCTCCTTTCCTATAATGGGACATCTAAGCCTTCAGTGATATTAAAAGAAATTCTAAAAGAAGGTGTGAGCTAAGCTTCTCTAAAGTACAGTCCCGAATATCACATCCAGATGTCAAGGTTATTTACATTCTCTGAAACACATGCAGACCCTGAATACAAGGCAAAGCAGATAAAAATGCTTGGAACTTACTCTTTGTTCATGCCTTCAAGTAGAACAGCTGAAATCTTTTTTAGCCTGATTGCAAGCTCAGGTAGGCCTTCTGTCATAGCACCCACCATGTTGTTGGTGATTAGAGACAGGCAGGCAATCATTTTCAGTTGATTCAGCTTTTCTGTCAGTTCCTGAAGACGTGCTCCATCTGTCATGAGTGTCTAGCATGTTTATTTAAAATGTAAAAATAGTAAGGGAAGCTCAATACCATGAACTTGTAAAATAAGCAATGTTACATCCAAACTCCCATTTTTATCTGATTTCAGTAAAGTCATTAAATCACATGCAACACAGACAGACCAGCTGATTCACAGTTTGAACTTAAGAATTAGAATACTGGAAAACTTGAGTGAAGGAAAAAAAAAAATCACTCACCTCTGGTAATTCTTTTTTCTGATAATCCCACTGTAACAATTTCAAATAACTATTATTTAGCACCAATGTAGGGCTCAGGCTTGGCTTGGAGCTGTTTTTGGCCCCGGGAGTTAAAGCAGTCTCAGAAAGAGAAAGTAATTCTTCATGTACAGATTCTTTTATCCATTCTGTAGTTTGATCAAGAGCACCTGCAAGTGCAAAGGCCACATATTTGTCCTACAGCTGATGGATACCTTCATTTGTGCATTCTACATGACAGATGTCAGGTTAGGTGCTGGGCATGAATGACAAAACAGCCATGGCCCTCAAGGAGCTGAGCTTAGAGTCCAGATGGGCAGACAGACCTGTAAGCTCACAATTACAGCAGAATACAGTGAATACTAGAAGACACAGCAGGAGTGGAGGGAGGAGAGGCTCTCCAGGACAGACTGTAAGAGGAAGAACTCCATAAGTGACACTTCAGGATACAAGGCAAACAGAGGAAAGAGCTGTCACGCCAGGATAGAATAGCCCACACAAAGACCCGGAATAGTGAGAAAATATGGTAATTTGGATGCTACAAGCAAATCTGTACTGCTGGTCTATAAAGAACTAGGCGGGAGAGAGAGTGGCAGCAGATGGCATCAGATGGATAGACAGGCCAGCTCACACATGACCTTGAGTCTTGTGCAGAGAAGGTATTTAGATTAAAGGCATTGATGATTAATTAAACATTTTTGGGTTCCAGACCCCTCCTCGGAGTGTCTGAATAGAGCTATGCCTTTCCCAGCATGCTGGTGTGCACACTTTTACTTCAGACCCAGTTCTAAGGTTTCCCCCTAGAAATAAATTGCTCTTTATACCACATTTCTTATAAAATTATGTATTTGGTAGAATTTATAAGGTGGCGATTGCTTAAAAATGCAGACTGAACACAGGTGCAGATTTTTTAAAAAGACCCAGAGAACAAAAGAAATAGTCACCCTGAAAACAGGGGTAGTTTATGAGCAGCTCAGTTTGCCACACTTAAGCAACACCACCCCCAGAATTTCACAACTTTGTTTCTCCTCAGTTGGCAAATGTTCTTGCTTTTCCCAGTTCTGTTTATAAAGATATAAAAGACTTGCAGTCTTTTATTTAAAAGGTACCCAACAGACAGAAACAGTGGAAACCATCATGGATATAATTACAATATGGCGGTAATAAGCATTTATGCTGCAAGCTTAATCATTTACAGCCGACAGATTTAAAAGCCCATTTCTTTATCTCAAACAAAAGCAACCAGTGTAGCATAGAGGTTCTCAATCCTGGCTGATTGTAGAATCACCTGGGGAACTTTAAAAAGAAATGTGATCTTGGGCACTGGCTCTTGGAGATTTTGATTTAATCAGTCTGAGATGGGGCTCAGGCATCTGTGTTTAAACACCCTAGGTGATCCTAATATGTAGCCAGAATTGAGTACAACTGGTAAAGCAGAAAGATCATGAGTTTAGGGGGAAACATGGGCTTTTCTCTAAGGGATCCTCTGAGATTTCACTCCCACAAGCTAGTACACTGACTGTTCTATGTGGCTCCAAAATCGAGGTCAACCCTATGAGGCACTGGTACCCTCGGTTTTTCATATGGAAAAGAGCCTCTCCATTCATTTCTTCAATGACAACTGAGCACCTACTATACACCGGATACTATACCAAGTGCAGAGAATTCACAGATGAGTAAACACAGTCCCTATACTCAAAAACCTCCTTATCTACCAGGAGAGAGAAACAGAACAACAGGCAATGGTTTTACAGGTGCATTTACCTAAGAATTTCTCAGGGGCAGTGGAGGCCCAAGAACACTTCCCCACCAATATATGTTCCTGTTTCCTGCCAGGAAGCCTTGGCCTAACCGCTGAAACTATCTCTGGTTCTGTCAGTCCATATCCTGCCAGTCCTCAGTGGTCCAGCCTCTTCCTGTGGGAAGCCTTTCTTGATTGTATGGACCCATCCTTATCACTGCCTTCTTTTTGTTTTTTATATAAATTTATTTATTTAATTTATTTATTATTTTTGGCTGCGTTGGGTCTTCGTTGCTGCGCGCGGGCTTTCTCTAGTTGGGGCGAGCGGGGGCTACTCTTCGTTGCGGTGTGCGGGCTTCTCATTGCAGTGGCTTCTCTTGTTGCGGAGCATGGGCTCCAGGTGCACGGGCTTCAGTAGTTGTGGCGCACGGGCTTAGATGCTCTGCGGCATGTGGGATCTTCCTGGACCAGGGCTTGAACCCATGTCCCCTGCACTGGCAGGCAGATTCTTAACCACTGCACCACCAGGAAAGCCCTATCACTGCCTTCTTGAGGCACATCTGCCTTTGAATTTTTGATCTGGCTGTCATTTCTCTTAAATAGCTGACCTGAAAAACAGCTTCTCTATTTATTAAAAAAGTTATTAAATAGTTCATGTGCCTTTAATATTACTAGTGATATGAAAATGAGACTCCTTGAGAGTCCAAGCCTATGACGTTTATTTTTTATATAGCTTTCCCTTGACTTAGCTCATAGCACAACCTGATAGGTGTGTGAGATATCTGGCCTTGTCTTGGCAGACCCCTTTGCGCTGGAAACTAATCAAACGTTTTTCCAGTGGTACTTGTCACTTAGGAGGTTCTCAAAAAGCCTCTGCTCTCTACACCTGGCATGAGAGACCTGGTAGGTTTCCAATTTAATTCACCATCTCTGGAGGTAACCATGGGCTTAAGTACTGACTCAAATAGTCTCCTTTAGACTGACAAATTGATTTGGTCCTATATACCTGAAGATATCTTTCCCTTCAACTGTCATGCAGTAAAATGTTTACTAATATACACTGTGCATGCAAATCAAACTAGAAGACACAGGGTGTTTTAACTCTTTCAGAAAGCAGAGGAGGGAACACTTCCTAATTTATCTTATGAGGGCGGCTTTGCTCTGACACCAAAACCAAGCAATGGCATTATAAGAAAAGAAAATTACAGGGGGACATTTTTTATAAATACAGATGTAAAAATCCTTAAGAAAGCATTAGAAAGGCAATAAGATAAAGATAATATACCGGGGCCAAGTGATTGGATAAACATCTCAGGATTGCAAGCTTGGTCTAACACTAGAAAAAAAATCAGTCACTCTAATTCGCCACATTAACACAATCAAGGAGAAGAAAAATATGACCAATTGAGTAGATGCAGAAAAAGCATGTGAACAAATTTAATATGTGACCTATTTAGATAAAAATTCTCAACAGGGTTTCCCTGGTGGCGCAGTGGTTGAGAGTCCACCTGCTGATGCAGGGGAAACGGGTTCGTGCCCCGGTCTGTGAAGATCCCACATGCTGCAGAGCGGCTAGGCCCGTGGGCCATGGCTGATGAGGCTGCGCGTCCGGAGCCTGTGCTCCACAACGGGAGAGGCCACAACAGTGAGAGGCCCGCGTACCGCAAAAAACAAAACAAAACAAAACAAATCTCAACAAACTAGAAATAGAAGAAAACTTCCTTAACCCCAAAAAATGACATCTATGAGAAGCTGCAGCTAACATCATACTTAATGGTCAAACAATAAACATTCTTCTGCTAGAAAAGCAAGGATGCCCTTTCTCATGACTTCTATTCAACATCTGATTGGAGGTCCCAGTCAGTGCAACAAGATAAACCAAAGAAATAAAAGGCAACATGATTGTATATACTATAGAAAAACCTAAGGAATAGTCCAAAAAGCTATTAGAATTAATAAGTTAATTTAGCAAGGTCTCAGGATGCAAAGTCGATCCTCAAAAATCAATTATATTTCTATGTGCTAGAAAACAAAAAGTTTTATAAAATAGCATTTATAACACCAGAAGAACATAAAATGAGATTAAATTTAACAAAATAGGAGCTTCCCTGGTGGCGCAGTGGTTAAGAATCTGCCTGCCAATGCAGGGGACACAGGTTTGATCCCCAGTCTGGGAAGATCCCACATGCCGTGGAGCAACTAAGCCCGTGTGCCACAACTACTGAGCCTGTGCTCTACAGCCCGCGAGCCACAACTACTGAGCCCACATGCCACAACTACTGAAGTCCGTGCACCTAGAGCCCGTGCTCTGCACACAACAAGAGAAGCCACTGCAATGAGAAGCCTGCGCACGACAACGAAGAGCAGCTCCCGCTCACTGCAACTAGAGAAACCCCACGCCCAGCAACAAAGATCCAATGCAGCCAAAAATAAACTAATTAAATAAATTAAAAAAAATTACAAAACCAGTACACCAAAACTAAAACAATATTGCTGAAATAAATTAAAGATTTAAGTAGAGATACTGAGTTCACATATCAGTAGACTCAACATTATTAAGATGTCAATTCAACATAATTCCAATCACCATCCCAGCTGGCTTTTTTGCAGAACGAGATAAACTAATTAAAAAATGCATATGGAAATTCGAAGGACCTAAAATAGGCAAAACAATTTTGAAAAAGAATTAAGTTGGAAGACTGACACTATCTGACTTCAAGACTTAGCCTCAGTAACCAGGATAGTGTGGTATCAGCTAAGAGTAGAAATACAGATCAATGGAAAAGACTAGAGAGTCTAATAAAAAGGAATGAAGTATTGATATGTGTTACAACATGGGTAAATCTTTAAAACACAATACTAAGTGGAAGAAATCAGACACAAAAAGCTACGTATTATATGATTCCATTTATATGAAATGTCCTGAACCATCAAATCCATAGAGACAGAAAGTAGAACTGTGGTTGTCAAGGGCTAAGGGAAGGGAGGAATGAGGAGATACTGCTAATGAGTTTGGGGTTTATTCTGGAAGCATGAAAATCTTATGGAATTAAATACTGGTGATGGTTGCATAACCTTGTGAAAATACTAAAAAACACTGAATTATACACTTTTAAAATTTAATTTTATGGTATGTAAATTATACCTCAATTTAAAAAAAGAATAAAGAGTTCAGAAATAGAATCATAAATGTATGGTCAATTGATTTTCAACAAAAATGCCAAAGCAATTCAAAGGAGAAAAGATAGTCTTTTTCAACAAATAGCTCTAGAATTGGATATATTAATGGAAAATTTTGAACCTTGAAATATATTGCCTTGAGATGATTCATAAGCCTAAAATTCTAAAACTTCTAGAACATACAAAAAAAATCTTCAAGACCTTAGGATATACAAAGATTTTGTAAACAATTCACTAAATGCACAAACC